TTAGAATAATAATATCATAGTATCTTTAGGTTTAGGAATGATTTCTATAATAGAAATTACCATACCTATATTTCAGAGAAAATCAACCATCTTCCAACCAAATAAATGCTGAGAACAAAATTTTTCTAATATATATGCTACCCATAATCAAATAGTTAATACATCTTTATTTTAGATAATAAAATCTACATCTGAGAAAATTTTTCTATTCTGAGGAGACATTCATATTTAGCATTTAATAACCACTGAAATAATCTCTTTTCTATAATGAGAATATTAGAAGATCTCTGCTCAATATGACATATATATTCCTTAATACATCGCATGCAGAATAGCATCTGATTCGTTCTGGCATTATTTCTATATAGTTATTAAAAAGACAGAATGCCCGCTCAAACTTAGGATTGGTACATAATACTCCTATTTTTAGAGTGCTAATATAAGCAATTAGGTCTAAGTTTTTTCATAATTCTTTTACATTGCTAAAATCACAAGCCTTTTTCTTAGAATCAGATTTGTCATAATATTTCTTAATTAATAATTCTAGAAAATCAGTTTTGAAAGTACAAATAATCCCTTGTACATCCTTTCTGAAATGGCAGATAAGTGAAGTACTTTTCTGATTCTCAAAAGGTAGTGAAGATATTTTTTTAGCCCAATCCTAAAGTTTGGCTAATATAGTTTCTTTATTAAAAGTTAAATGAAATGTCTTGCCTTTCTGAGACTGATAAGTATTGTGAATAACTAAGAATAGTTTATCTTTATAAAGGGTCCTAATCTATTCAATGTTGAGGTTAGTTAGATCATTATCTATGACAATAATATGTCTAGCCTCTTGGATTAATTTATATAATTTCTTTATCAATTATTCTGCTAGATGACTTTATACTTGAGCAATTATAGATACTATTTTATCAAGTCATAAATTGTATTAGTTCAGAAGGCATTTACATTTTTTATTACATTTACATTTATTAATAATACAGTATAAGCTTTCTATATGGTATACTACCTTCTTATGATCAAGTAGATTTATATTACCATTAATATCATAATATGATTTGAGATTGAGTCTTATAATAACAGTATTTGAGTAAGAATAGTGTATAGATAATATTAGTAAATTCACATTATTAAATATAGTAAGATGCTTTAGAACATATGTTTTTTCCATTTTCCAAGATGATTTTACATAGATATCACCTTTATTGGGCAATGGTTTTACATATCTCTCCTCATATATTTCTATCGCTGTAAGGGTTTTATTATACTTAACCCAGAATGGCATTTTTACTAAGACTTTAAAAAAATCTGAACCTTTTATTTTGTAAGAGGCAGGAGATAAATTTTTATTTTCTTGCTGAATTTTTTCTGCAATAAATAGGTCACATTCAAAAATTTTCCTATGTTTATCATTATTTTGCTGAAAATATTTTATGATGAATTCACTATTATTAGCACATATATGATCAAACTATCACTGATCCTTGTTATGTATATGTTTGCAAAGTGAACATTCTAGTGAAACTTTTCAGTTAAAATATATGAAGTTTTTTGAATCCTTTTCTTCAATATTCTAACCCCTAAAATAGCTAGAATGCTTTTGTAAAATTAGTTCTGCATATTTTTGTAATATATCTGAACCCACAGATATTCTTAATGGATTATTATTTTTTCTATGCTAAGCATTCTAGGTTTCACTTCAAAACCTAAACTAGAAGGCAGTTGAACCCTAATATGATCAAGTTCATTCTAGCTATTAATAATTAAAGATAACAAGATGCGCTTCATATGACCTTTTTTTGTTGAACTAATTAGACGAAGGTTAAAATTCTGATCAGACAACCTTCTATCAATATACTTGCCAAATTTTTCACCAGTTATAATATATACTAATTCAGTAAATATTTTGAGTTTATAATAATTAATAAGAAGAGCCAATGTATATATAATATGGTAGTTACACTTGCTAGGGTCTGATGATATAGCGATTACTAATCCTCTGAGAATATCTTTTTAGCTACAATCAAAAATTTGATACAAAGCTCTTATGAAAGATAAACAGATTTGAATGAATACTTCTTGTATCTTAATTCTATTTGCTTTCAAATTTTCTTATAAAGTATCTATATTGATCACAGCTCTTAAAAGTTTTTGACTATTAATTCATTAATGGATCTCAGGCAAGCCATATACTTCAGAAATATCATCTGCAATAGAAAACTTCGGACCTGATTACCACCTTGGTCAATTTTGATAACCAATTTATTTTCTATTTCATCTTAATCATAAGCATTATATAAACTAGACCTCTTTTTATTTGGAAAGAAAAATGAATAGATTGGAAGATATTCTAATGACCCCTTTTCATCTAATATATCTCTAGATAGTGATAGGAAAATTTCTCGAATGGCATTTATCAAGTCCTTGAAAGAAAAATTATCATTAAACTTTTCCTGCCTTAAAATATATGCCACAATAATCTTTTACTTTTTTACATTTAGTGGTTAAACCAATAGAGTCTTGATAGTGTTAGTTGAAGCGCAGAAAGCTTCTTTATTATCTGATTTATAATTAGACTCATAGTCATTATAATCATCTGATCTTAAGTCAGATCTATTATCAGTACAACTGCTTAAGTCACTTAAATATTTATTAGAACCAGTGTCATCGTAGTAGGTGAGAAGGTCAGTTCTATGATTTTGATTAGAAGTAATTAGGGTATATATGTTGTCAGTAAGTAAAACTTTATATACTCTAATATATTTCCAAAATGTTTAATTATTTTTTTGATAAATGTAAAAAAAAGATGTATAGTAGGTTGATAAAAGAAATGAGAATAAATATATTCTTAATAGATGATATTTAGAAAAGGTAAATGTAAAATCTATTATATAAATATTAGCATTTACCTTTCTTAATACTAGTATATATCTGGATATCCTTCTTCATAATCTATTACAAAAATATTAGCACTTGAATACTCTATAACTAGTATATATCTCTAGATATATACTCAGATATGGTATAAATGAGTCAGCTACAATAATACATATCGCATTTCTAATTTTAGACATGAAATTAGTATACATATATTAGTAACAAATAAGCAATAGTTGATTTAATTGCAAGGTGTGCACTTCCAGTAAATAAATGGGTTAGTAATAATAATGCCTATCATACCTTCAAGAAGCATAATATCTTGATCTTCGTTCTTGATGACAAATAGGTAATCAAAAGTAGAATTAAATTTAATCAGTAATATTGTGTAAGCTATCTAATGTAATCTGTCATCCTATTGTAATAGGACTAACTTCTAGATCATATTGTTCAAAATTTTTTTTACTAGTTTTGAGAAAAGCATGACTATTAATTTTCTTTTTGCGAATGATTTCCAAATCATCTTCATCCAAATCTAGATTCTCAATCTCACACAATAGATTAATGAGCTTAGTTGTATCATATGTTTAATTAATTTTTTTCATCCTTCGAAAAAAGAGATGTATAGTAAGCTAGTAATCAAATCAAAAATAAAAAGCAACTAAATAAACACAAAATCTTAATAAAGAACTAGTATTTAAACTAATATAAAGGACTAGTATCCTTATTATAGAATCAGATATTCAAAGAAGACTGGAAAGTCAGAATTAACAATATAGATTTATTATGTAAACGGATTGGGAACAAGAAAAAAGCGGTCACTATTAGATCATGATATCACCATTAAATTAAAACACTACTAATCACCATTAGAATATGAAGTTAACATCATATTATATAGGAAACAGATGAAATAATACTATAAATGTAAAGGAGCTAATGTCAATTACATGTAATTATAAAATTTTGACGTACGTAAATTATTTTATTAATTAGCCTTATAAAAAGAATATAACCAAGAGTAAATTAAAGATATTTCTATCAAAACATCTAGAAAATTTTATAAAATTTCTATTGTACTATTAGAACTTGCAATTTTTCGTTAACCTAAAATATTAATATAATAAGTGATATTAAAGATCTCTGATTTTTTGTCACAAATTGCTTCAGATAATAAAGAACTTGTAAAAAAGATGCTAAAAGATATTAATATTGAAGATATTAAAGGTATAAAAAGAATCAATGAGATAGTATAATATAGATATATCAAATTCTCATTCTATTTATTCACTCATTATAAAATAATTGATTGTTTTATATATTCACATGTTCAGAATTTGAAATTAGACATATTTAAATAAATAAAAAAACCTTCATAATGTGATATTATAATGGTATAATAATTTTGTTATTTAATATTTAATTCAGTTATCTTTAGTTAGATTTATATTAAAAAGATATCATAATATGTTTTTATATAAATAAATATTTTGAAAATTTTTATTTTTATTATGATCAGAATTTATCCTATAAAATATAAATTCTTATATATTTAAAATTATTTCAATTAGCTAAACATTTATTTTAAATTGGCTTATATTAAAAAATTAATAAAAAGAATATTCTGATTTTGCTTATTTTTTATGATAAATAAAAATATTTTTTTCTAATTACAAATGAAATTAATATTTATAGTGATAATATTTATTTTATTAAAACATTCTTTTAAACTTAAAAGATAAAAATTTATCAAATTAGTAATAAAGAAAATATTCTTTAAAAAATAAAGAAAAATTTAAAAAGTTAAATAATAAATCAATTTAATTATATAGAACTATAGATAAAATTATGCTAAATTAAGAAATTAATTTCATGTTATAATTTATATAACTAAATTTTAATCCCTAAAATCTTTGTAATACAAAACTTGAATAATTCTTATGATTCGCAGAAATGATTTTATTGTAATACCACGACCTTTCCAAGCTCACAATCTCTTGTATCACATTACCCAGTAACTGAAAAAAAAAGAACTGGTTAAATAAACGTTCATCTTTTCAAGTACTATTGGATGATTAGGGTTGCTGCGGATTTGCTAAAAAAACATAAATTCTGCTTTTATGCCGGGTTTTTCTGGTAAAGCAGAAATTTCGGGTCCCATTAATATGTGTTTCCATTCCAATAATGAGGAGCATAACGAAAGGGATATTGTTTCTGTGAGTTCAGATCAATTATCGAAAGATAAACCTTTTGGCTCACAAGTAATCAAATGGATTTCGAGTGTACCAGAAAGTAGCTCAGCAACCTTAAAGACACAAGATGCAGATTCCCAACTTTCTCATAGGAGTTGGACATCATTTATATTTTCACCAGCAATAAAACATTTGATCGCAGGTGGTGTCGCGGGAGCAGTAAGCAGAACAGTAGTCAGCCCTCTGGAAAGGATGAAAATTTTATTTCAAGTGCGTATAGTAACCTTTAAAATTAGCCGAACACATTTTTTTTCAAAAGTATTTAGATTTATTTGGACCATTCAATATTAGATCCTTTTTTTTTTTCTTCTTTTTTTTATATATACGCGTATATAAAATATTAGATACAAGGACCAGAGCCAGCTTCATATCGTGGAATAATACCCACAATTGTAAAAATGTGGCGAGAAGAAAGATGGATTGGTATGTTGAGAGGCAATGGCACAAATGTAATAAGGATTGTACCATATAGTGCCACACAATTCGCATCTTATGAAAAATATAAAAGGGTAGGTATATTGATGACAAAATTCATTGAAGGATCGCATTCATCAAATTAATTTTCTTTTAATTTTGTTTAAAGCTTCTTATAGAAGATGGAAAGAGTGAACTTGATGCACCACGTCGTCTTACAGCAGGTGCATTAGCCGGTATAACGTCTGTCGCATGTACGTATCCACTTGATATAATACGCACGAGGCTATCAGTACAATCGGCAAGTCTGTCCGTTAAAGAAATGAATAAAAAATTACCAGGTATCTGGCAAACAATGAAAATTATTTATCATACGGAGGGTGGTATCGTAGCATTATATCGTGGATTATCACCAACTCTGATGGTAAAATTTTATTTTAATTTCTGTACTGGATTCGACATGATTTTATTCTTTATAGATTTATTTTGTGTTTTTAATAGTTGTAATGAACCGATTTTGTAGGGTGTAGCCCCGTATGTAGCGCTAAATTTTCATTCCTATGAAGTGCTACGTAAATATTTTACACCAAAAGATCAAACGTCTCCTCCAGTTGCGCAAAAACTTATGTGCGGTGCCATCGCAGGAACGTTTGCTCAAACGATAACATACCCTTTGGACGTATTGCGACGAAGAATGCAAGTAACAGGGATGCCGGGTGTCCCATATAAATATAATGGAACATGGGATGCATTGAAAAAGTTAATCGTTCAAGAAGGTGTTAGAGGATTA